CTCTCTCTCTCTCTCTCTCTCTCTCTCTCTCTCTCTCTCTCTCGTAGTGCTGGGGATGGAACCCAGGACCTCATGAATGCTACGCAAGTGAACTACCACTGAGCCACAAACCCGCCCCACTCTGCTTCTCTTATCCCTATAAACCAATGACCATGTTTCCTAGTTAATGGAGAAAAAGAGACTCCTTCCACTTTATGCCACCAAACCTCAGCTTACCTTCTTATACACCCTGCCATCCGTGGTTCAGATCAATTCTTTCCTTTGACTTAGAATCTTATTCCTTTAACATTTCATTTGTGTTTCTCTTCTCATCTCCCGGCTCCTTCCTATCAGCATTTTGAGAAACTTAACTCTTTAACAATTTTAAGAATATCCACTTGAGGCACAGCCCGTCTAGATCTTCCCTTCTCCCTGTTCCTGTTCTTTGCTGGATTTCATAATTCCTATACATGCTGAAGGCCTTGCAGCTTGGTTTCTTTCTCTTTTTTTTTTTAAATCTGTTCTTTTAGATATACATGACTGTAAAATGTGTTTTGACATTTTATACATGCATAGAGTATAACTTCCCATTCTTGTGGTTGTACGTGATGTGGAGTTACCCTGGTTGTGTATTCATACATGAACATAGGAAAGTTATGTCTGATTCATTCTACTGTCTTTCCTATTCCCATCCCCCTCCCTTCCCTTCATTCCCTTTTCTCTAATCCAATGAAATTCTATTCTTCCCTCTCACCAGTCTGCAACTTGGCTCTGCCCCCACCACACTAAAATATTTCCTTGCAAGGACATCAGAGAACTCTGGGGAGCTCAATTCAGGGGACCCTTCTTGATTCTTATCTTGATGGTCCCACTGGCTATTTTAAACCACTACCTTCTTGAAATACTCTCTGGCCTTGGCTGCTAGAAAACCAACCTTCTCTTGGTTTTCTTACTTTCTGTCTGCACCTTCGCAATTTCCTCTTCCTCAGCTTCTCCTGCTGTGCTTCTTTGGGTTCTATGTTAGGCTCTTATTGTGTTTCAATAATAGCAACAGGATCAACATCAACAGCTTAGCGTTTACTGAGATTCCATTATGTTCCAGACTCTGGATGAAGTAATTTACACTCTTCATCACGTTAAACATCACTGTACCCTAGGAGATATTATTTTCAGTATATAAATGATAAACCAGAGCGGCAATGTTAAATTTTCCAAGGATGCATTACTAAGTGGTAGAACCAGTACTTAAACTCTGACACAATCTCCTGAGAGACATCTCCTCCAATCTAGCGTTGTCCATTCTCATTCATATACAGATGAGTCCTGAGTCTTTATCTTGGCCTCTCATGGGTCCTTGGGGACCACGCCCTCATTTGGCATCTCCACTTAAGTGTCTCAGGGGCACCTCAAAATTCAGCCTGCCTCAAACTCATTGTCATCTCCACACCTAGTACCTTCCTCTCCTCTATGGCTCTCTCTCTTTGTGAATGGCCCCACATAACCTAGTCTTTGCCTGCCCACAGACCGCGGGTATCACCATTATGTCCTTTTCATTTAATTTCCCTCTACAATAAGATACCAGTGCTGTTAATTTTTGCTCCTCAGGATCTGCTCTCCATGTGTCCCCGACCTCTCCGTCACACACTGGCCCCACCCCTGACATTCTCATGGCTTCCTGTTTGTCCTCTTGCTTCCTCTTTAGCTCTTTCTGACCCACTCTTTAACTGTAAGCAAATATTTCTGAAGTGCAAACCTCATTCTTTGTCATCTTGAGGCCCTTCCAGGTTCCGTTGCTCCGTCCTGAAATCATTCTACCAATTTGCTTTTCATTCTTTAACTTTTGGGTGTGCAACAACTTTCTACACCCTACACGAAGTCTGTGTAGGGATTCCCATTTCATGCTTCCATAGCTTTCTTCCCTTTCTCAGGAAATCTCAGATTTGTCATTTCTGATTGCTTTTTGATTTCTCCTACTAAATTGTAAGCTCAGTGAGAGCTGGGAACACATCTATTCTGTTTAGCATTGATTCCCTAGAGCCTAGCCCAGTGCTCAGCATTTAGAATCTGTTGGCATCAATAGATATTTCTTGAATGAGAAGCAGTAATTCTAAAACTCATAAGTTGAAAATAAAAACTAAAGAATATTTCCTTTGGAAAAGTGCAGCAAAATCACAGATGCAATCATAAGAATGTACAGAATAAAAGAAGTGATTTTTAAAAATCCATTTTCTTAAAAATATTATATAGCATCCCTCAAAGTCAAGCAGAGGGTGGCAGAGGTAGCATTTGAATCTAACACCTCTATAATGAAGACTCTGTTTGCTTCCACCAGATCTAGAGACAACTGTCGATCAGTCCCCTATGATGAAGATTCTACCAGCTGAGCCAGTCCTAGAAGAAGTTCTTGTATCTAGTATCCACACTGGGAAACCCTGTTTGCTGTTGCTGATCCTTCCATGTTCTCTGGTCCTGTGACAAGACCCCATTCCTCTGATACTTTTTCCTCTTCCTTAATGCCTTTCAAGATTTTAGCCTGGAAATTTTTCCTCTCTCTCTCCCTCTCTTCCTGCCCACTTGTACCTGGTTTTCCACTTGGGGAATTCTTCAAAATCAACTTACATTATAGGACTGAACATCTGTCTTGCAATTCTGTCTCTCCTAAAGGTCTATGTGCTGTATGCCCATGTCTTGATGAACAAGGCGTATTTATGCAGTGGTCATTCAAACATTGTAGACTTGATTGGATCCCATGAGTGTCTTTAATTCCTTTTGAGTGACAAGAACTACTTTGCCTTCCTTGTCTTAGGCAAAAAGAACTACTTTTGGGACAAAATTTGAGTCTCAGGCCTTAGTTACAGAGGAACAATGTAGGACCTTTCTCAGTGATACAGAAATGCAGTGCTAAGGATTAAAAACAGGATCAAACCAGAAGTTCAGGCGCTAGAGCAGGGACTTCATTGAAGTTAGAGTGGTCTCAGCCCTGAGGCTGACCTTGATGCCAAGTGTCCATAACTCTACTGGGCCACCATAAATTTCTCTGGTCAAGGTCAAGGCTATTCTGAGAGTAGTGGTGAGACTGTGCTCACAGGTGGGATGTTATAGAGTGTGTTATAGGTACAAGGGCCCAGTACTTTCCTCAAGACTTTACAATTAGGAAAGATCAACCAACAGGACTATTCTATTTCTTTTGCCTTCTCAATATCAAGTGGGAGAAGGAATTTAAGAAAAAAGATTGACTTCCTCTAAAGACCTGGGGAAGGTTAAGACTCATTAAAAATAACCTGAGTCCTGGGTAGGGCAGATTAGCTACAGGGCGAGTTCTTTCTTTGTAAAGGGGACTCACTCTGCTCCAGCTCTCAGGGGCCAGACCCAGACCTGTAGAAATTCCTCAGCCCTCCTTACTCATGCTAAGTGATCACTCATAAGGATTTTGGCTCATAACTCTTAAGAGTACCCCTGCATTTCCTCCAATTTGCTTTCCAGAAATGTAGTGCGCTATGAACAAGTGTTCTGTGGGAAAAAGCAATGTTGATGAAAATTCTTCCCATTAAAATGCACTTGCTAAAAACTATGAAAGATGTTAACACTTTTGATTGTCCTTTTTATCATGTAATGGTATGCTTTTAAGAAGTTACATCTATTCTTTTTTTAAAAAAATTTTACTTTCTGAGTTTGATTTATTTTACTTTATTTCATTATTTCATATTGTTCTCAAGTTCCATCCATGTTCCTGCAAATGACATATTTCATTCTTCTTTATGACTGAATAAAACTTTGTTGTCTATATAGACCACATTTTCTTTACCCACTCAACCATTGATGGTAGACTGGTTTACAAATTGGCTGTAGTAAATTGTGCTGCTATCAACAGGGGTATGTAGGTGTCACTATAGTATGCTGACTTTAATTTTTTAGGATAAATTCTGAGGAGTAGTATAGCTAGGTCATATGGGGGTTCTGTTCCTAGTCTGTTAAGTACTCTCCATACTGATTTCTATAGTGGTTGTACTAATTTACAATCCCACCATTATAAAAGTGTTCCTTTTTCTCCATATCCTCTCCAGAATTTATTATTGCTTGTATTCTTGATGACTGCCATTCTGACTGGGGTTAAGATGAAATCTCAGTATAGTTTTGATTTTCATGTCCCTAATTGC